TGAAATTGGGTCATTTGTAGAGACGTGGATGGACCTAGAGACTGTCATACAGAATAAAGTAAGTCAGAAAGAGAAAAACAAATATCCTATATTAATGCATATATGTGGAACCTAGAAAAATGGTACAGATGAACCGGTTTGCAGGGCAGAAACAGAGACACAGATGTAGAGAACAAACGTATGGACACCAAGGGGGTAACGTGCGGGGGGGGGGGGCGGGTGGTGGTGGTGGGATGAATTGGGAGACTGTGATTGACATATATACTCTAATATGTATAAAATAGATAACTAATAAGGACCTGCTGTATAAAATAATTAAATAAAATTCAAAAAAAATGTCAGTTTTCAATAAGTTTTAAGAAAACACAAATGAATATATCTATGAAACAAAAACAGACTCACATATATAGAGAACAGACTTGTGGTTGTGGTGTGGGGGACATGGGGGAGGGAGGGTTTGGGAGTTTGGGATTAGCAGATGCAAACTATTATATATAGGATGAATAAACACCAAGGTCCTACTGTACAGTACAGGGAACTATATTCAATATCCTGTGATAAACCATAATGGAAAAGAATATGAAAAAGAATATATGTGTGGGCTTCCCTGGTGGCGCAGTGGTTGAGAGTCTGCCTGCCGATGCAGGGGACACGGGTTCGTGCCCCGGTCCGGGAAGATCCCACATGCCGCGGAGCGGCTGGGCCCGTGAGCCATGGCCGCTTAGCCTGCGCGTCCGGAGCCTGTGCTCCGCAACGGGAGAGGCCACAACAGTGAGAGGCCCGCGTACCGAAAAAAAAAAAAAAAAAGAATATATGTGTGTATAACTGAGTCACTTTGTTGTATGGCAGAAATTGAACACAACATTGTAAATCAACTATATTTCAGTAAAATTAAAGAAAGAATAAACATCATTTAGTTTTCATAATCATCCTTTGAGGTAAATACTATTATTACAGATGAGCAAACTGAGAAACCCAGAGAAATGAAGTAACTTCCTGGAAAGCATTAAGATCATAAGTGGTTGAGCTAGGATCTTTTTCTAAGTGGTCTGATTTCAGATGCTGTGCTCTAAGAAAAAAAGACTACCTTAATATTGTGGTAAAAACAATGTTATTTGTTCACCAAACCATTTCATTTTCTTCCTAGGCACACAGGAAGACTATACTTCCCAGCTCCCTGGCCTTTTAAACAAGCCATGTGGCTAATTCTGGCTGATGGAATGTGGGTGGATATAAAAAAAAAAAAAAAAAATCTCCAGGTTAGAGTGATGGCTTCCCAAGATGAAAAGAGACTGTATCTGTAGGTTATTACTTACAGGAGAGCCTCTCCATCAGGTACATCTTTACTGAACTTTGTGAGCACAAGAAATGAACCCTTTCTGTGCTAAGTTACTGAGATTTGGTGGGGTGTTCGTTATGGCAGCTTGTGTAAATAATACTAATAGAAAATTTAAAAATTATGAAATATTTCAAAAGTATTGAAAAGTGCAGAATATATTAAAAATCATATCTCTATCCCCAGATTTAACATATATTAATATTGTCACATTTCCTTCAGGTTGTTCTTCAAGAAACCCATTAGATATAACTAATAGCTAATAACGAATAAAAAGCATCACCTCATCCCTAACCGTTCCTTAGAAGTAACTACTATCCTGAAGGTGGTGTCTATTATCCTCATTTACATTTTTTACTTTGTCTACGATATATTAAATTATAGAGTATTTTGTGTGCTTTAAAAATAGGAATGGTATCAAAAAGATGGGTTTTTTTTCATTCCATATTGTTTTTGAGGTGTCTCCATGTTGGTACATGTAGGTCTAATTTATTCAATTACAGAGGTATGTAGAAATACAGTAATTTATGTATCCATTCTCCTACTGAGAGACAGTTGAGATTCTTCTTATTTTTTTGCTTCTACAAACAACGTTGCAATGAACTTCCTTGTACCTGCCTAATATCATAGAGTCAGGGGAGGCCTCTCTGAGGATTTTCTCATTTAAGCTGATACTGGAAGGATGAGAAGCCAGCCACGTGAAGAGCTGGGATACCAGTGTTTCAGGTATCTGGAACAGTAGACAAGCCCTAACACCTTAGGGAATGGCATGTACTTGATCCAGTGAAGTTACAGTGAAGTGAATGAAGGAAAGAGTGGCAGGAGATGGAGGTGGAGAAGCAGGCAAGGACCACTGTGTTAATGGCTTTAGAGACCACACTAAGAAGTTTGGGTTTTCTTCTATATGCAAAGCCATCCAAGTGTTCTCATTTTTTCTAGGTTGGTCAGACCATACTCACAGTATTGTGAGTTCCTTCCCTCAACTTCACTATGAAAGGAGCATCTCTTAAATGAATGCAGTTACTGCTTTTGCTCTCCATTTTGGAGGAATTGATTGTAATATCATTAAAAAAAGAAAGAAAAAAAACTTTTCATTTCCTTTCCCAGACTTTTGTGTCTGAGGGGCAGCTGTATGTTTCAAAAGGAAACTACATTTGACCCTTGAACAACATGGGTTTGAAGTGCATGGGTCCACTTATATGCAGATTTTTTTTTTCAGTAAATGTTACTACATGATCCGAGGTTGGTTGAAAATCGCAGAACAGCAGATAAGGAGAAATTCCAGTTAGGGAGGGCCAACTATAAATTATACATGGATTTTTGACAGCAAGGAGGGTCTGTGTCCCTAACCCCCAAGTTGTTCAAGGGTCAACTGTATATGTATCAAATTTTCAATGTTCCATCAAAAGGACTTATAAGGAAATGTTCTTTTTTCCCCATATTTTGCAGTCAAATTGTTCCTCGTTAAAATCAGATTGACTTCATGAAAGATCTAAAGTGTTAGGTTGATTTAAGAGCTGAGGAAATATGCTGCTAGTTCTGAAATTATCTCAGGTGTGATAGAATCTGGTGATGACCAAATAGAGCAACAATTGAAGAGTGGGAATGAAAAATTAGGTATTTATGCTACAGTGCCAAACATTGTACTGTAGGCTTTAAAATGATAAATTACACTATTTCCAAAAGTTTGGGTATGAGCCATTCCTTTAGTAACTCAGCCAAACATGCTAACATTTTCTCTCCTTCCTTATTCATTTTTTCGATTAGCAGTTCCTATATTTGCTTAATTGTCTGTACTATCAGGTTGGGAGGTGCGCTATAACTTTCAGTTTTCATTTAAATTACCTCCCGATCTCCAACAATTCAAGCACATCAAGTCTCACAGTCCTATTCTTGTATTTTCACCCTATTTTCCATTAGAATATCGTTTTTAATAACCAGTACTTTTCAATTTTTAAAGATACGTATTCAGACTCACAGAAATTTCATTAATATCTAACCCGATGGATGCCGGTGAAAATTCCTCTTTTCTAAAACAACCCCCATCCACCCATTACTTTTTTTTATTTGCAAATTGGTTGTAATTTCTCTAGGTAGAATCTTACTGCCAAATAGAATGAATACCAAGAGGCATGGTGTATAACTGTGTCTAATAAATGCAGTAAGGCAGAGTTAAAATCCCATCAACATCACACAGAATCAGAATGTGAGTATTAGAAAAGACCTTAAGGACCATCTTGTACATCTTGTGTGTATGTGACCAGCACGGCGTTTTAAGTGAAGTCAATAGTTTTCAGAAGAGGAAAAAGAACCTTCAGTAAAACAAATCAAAACAACTGCAAAAAAAAAAAAGGTACCATTCTAACTAACTTAGAAAAAATGTGTTTGTTTCCTGAGGTAGCAGCATAGGGATGAATCTTAGGGGGGTTATCTGCCCTCCAGCAACTGTACCTGTGTGTGTGGGGGTGGTGGTGTAAGTAATCTAATGTCTTTTGCTGAGTACTATGATGGTATTGTTTGTGTAAATGTGCTTTAGGATCACAAAAGAGGGAGCAAGTGATTAATTACACTCCAAAGTTACACCCTCAAAAGACAGGTGAATGGTCTTCAAGAACGACTAAGAATTACACAAGTGGACAAGAATGAGAGTATTTTAACCTTAGGGAACAGCACGTGCATCTCTTGCACCTAAGAGTTACAGATAAGAATCTGCAAATAGATGTTTGAAAAGGGTCGCAGCAATTGACGCTTTTAAACGGTTGCACATTAAAATCAGTTAGGAAGCTTTTAAAAATCCTGAAGCCCAGACCAATTAAAGTCGAATGTATTGGGGGTGGGGGTGGCATAAATATTTTTTAAAGCCACCCATCCCTCCACCGCCCAAGATTCCAACGTGCAGGCAAGGTTGAGAATCGCCGCTTTAACGCAGGAAGCAAAATTATTAAACGTGAATTATGAGGGGGGAAAAAGTGGCAGTAGGGCACAGAAGATGAACTGAAAGTCCTTGGAAGGCAGGGCGGCTACTTCAAGGGCAGGGACAAGAACCAAGTGGGAGAATCAGCGGTAGAGGATTTAAGGGCTGTTTCCGTGGTAGAACTGCCAGGATTTGGGGGTCGGTAAAGAACTCAGCATATATTCAACTCCGTTAAAGTGAGGTTATTCTGCCAGTGGCCCTGCTCCTACCCCTAATCAGATTTTCTCGAATCTTTTCCCACAGTTTAAAAAAAAAAATGACGGAAACGTCTTCTATCCCACGAAAGGCGCATGGGCAGACTGTGGGCGGGGCAAAGATCTGAGAAGTCAGAAGCACGCAGTCGCAACAATTTGCGAGTCCAGAACCACAAGTCACAAACATCTGGGATGGGGTGGCCTCCCGATCGTGTTGCACCCACCTGGGGAGCGTTGATCGACACCTCAGCGCAAATTGGAGGCTTTTAAATCCCAGAGGGCGGAGAGGGCAAGGGCGGGGCAACTGCTGACGTTCGTACCGGCCCCGCCCTCACACCCACTTCCGGCGGCGCGCTGCCCCCGCTTCCGCTTTTCCCGCCAGCGCGCCGGCCCCGCCCCACTCCCACGCGCCCCCCAGCGTCCGGGCGCCCAACAGCCGGGAGAAAAGGCACAGGTTGCTGTCGGAAGCTCCCCTTTGGCTCCTTGTCCGTACTGCTTAACAACTTCCGCTTTGGGCCGTCAACAACATGGATGCTGCGGCTGCCTGGCGGAGCTGCATCTGATCGGTTGCGGGAGCGCAGCTTTTCTGCGGCGCCCGCCCCGCTTCCCCGCCCTCCCTCCTTCCCCCTGCCCCCTCCCCCCCGCCCCTTGCTCCAGTCCCTGGAGCCGGCGGGCTTGTCGCTACATGGGGGCGGGCCTCCGCGGCCGGCGCACGGCTTCCTGTTCAGAGGCGGCCTGGCGGTAGTAAGCGGCGGCGGCGGCGGCGGCGGCGACTCCGCCCGCGCCCACATCGGCGCGGTGACCGAGCGCCCGGGAGGGAGACTCGAGGTCCGCATCTTGTGCCGCTGCGCCAAGCCCGGCTCTGCGCCGCGATGGCCCCAGTGCAGCTGGAGAACCAGCTGGTCCCGCCCGGAGGCGGCGGAGGGGGCAGCAGCGGCCCCGCGTCAGCCCCGGCGCCTCCTCCTCCGGGAGCCGCCGTGGCGGCGGCCGCTGCGGCGGCGGCTAGCCCTGGCTACCGGCTAAGCACCCTCATCGAATTTCTGCTGCACCGGGCCTACTCGGAGCTCATGGTGCTGACTGATCTGTAAGTGCCGCGAAATCCACGCCTGCTCCCCAGCCCCCCCTTCCCGCCCAGCCGGCTGAGAGGTTCGCACCTCCTTCTCCCCAAAAGGCTGCTGCTTTCTCCTCTTTGCTGGACTGCTTAGTCTAGAATTTTTGAACTCTTGGGGCCCAGCGGAGGTGGAGGAGAAGCTTTGCGTTTGGGGTCTTTCTGGAGATGAAGCAGCCGAGACTTGTGAATTATGCACGTTGTTAGACTCCCTGAAAAGCCAGTCCTTGGAATTTTTGCTCGATTTGCCAGCTGAACCCTATTGATTTCTTGGTTGGAAGCTTTCTAGCCCAGACCCCACGATTACGGTTTAGGAATACATACTATTCGAGTTACCAAAAAAACCCCCAAAAAACCCAAAGGTGAGAAATTGTTTTACAGCTTCTTACGGTACATTTTAAATGTGGGTTGTAATTACTCCTGACAAAGTTTGAACTCAGGAGATGTATTGTGTATAAAATAATGTGAAATTTTGGATTCCAAGTTTGTTTGTTTTTCTGGAACGTTTGGGACTGAAGTCTTCACGCATTTAGTGTAAGGTTTTTTTGTAACTAGCCTGCTGTTATTGTCTCTTGGGGTATGAACGGAGTTTATAAATCACCAAGTTACCGGGTGAAATGCCTTGGGACATGATTAGGGTGTTAATCTCTTCAGAATAGGATCGGAATACACTGTAAAGATTTTCAGGTGTGTGAAGAAACTAAATTTTAGGGGTATATATACTTGAATTGCTGTTTTACATGTTTAAATTCATGTTCAGAAAAAGTAAGAATTACTAGTTTTCATCTAGATTCGTTTTAATCTTTTATCTATTGGTAGGCTCCAGATCAGTGTATTCAGTTGAAATACACGAGTATGTAGGTATTAGGCTGTGCAGTGTCACAGTAATTTGTTGCTATAGACTGTTACAATATTTTTTTTTGCAGATGACTTAAAGAATTAGAATAGGCTCCACTTATTCCTGTAAAACATCATTCTGAGAATTTTGATATACTGTACTTTACAGAAAGAAGCCTCCCCCCCCCGCCGCGCCCGTGTAATGAGAAACTTAAATCGCTGTCATGATGAGGGATTATTGTGGTAATATACTTCTCTGCACCATTAGTTGTTGGATTTCATAAGAATTTGAGTATCCATGAGAAAATATCATGTACCCGTCCTATGTAGAGCTATGGGAAACTGTTGAAAACTGCCGCCATCAGTGTTTGTGTAATTTGTATAATTTGTTTCTCCATAGGGCATTTGTAGCACTTCTTTGAATTGTGTTGTTGTTACTGTTTCAGGACTTAGTTATGAAAAGAAACATTTTATTGCTGTAGAATGAGTATATAGTTTTATACTTCATCCTGCACCCTTTATAGGTTGATGATTCCCATACTTATTTCTCCAGCACAGGCGTCTCCACTGAGCTGCAGGCTCTATCCAGGTGCCTACGTTTAAGTACCTAATGGGCATTTCAGTGGACCAAGTCCAGAACCAAACTCCTGATTCCATTCGATGCCCCCAAAACTTTCCTATCTCACTAAATAGTACCTCCATTCTTCCTTTTGATGCTTTTAGGCCAGAAATTTTGGAGTAATTCTTGGCTTCTCTTTCTTCCAATCCCACACTCAGTACATTAGCAAGTCTTGTCATCTCTGACTTCAGAATCTGACCACTTTTCAACGTTTCCATCAAGTGTTAATCTTTTGCTCGTGTTACTGCAGTAGTCTGCTAACTGGGGCCTCTGCTGCTACCCTTGCCCCTCTACGGTTTTTCCTCCATAAAATAGCCAGGATGATCCTTTTTTTTTTTTTTTTGTTACGCGGGCCTCTCACTGTTGCGGCCTCTCCCGTTGCGGAGCACAGGCTCCGGACGCGCAGGCTCAGTGGCCATGGCTCACGGGCCCAGCCGCTCCGCGGCATGTGGGATCTTCCCGGACCGGGGCACAAACCCGCGTTCCCTGCATCGGCAGCCGGACTCTCAACCCCTGCGCCACCAGGGAAGCCCCAGGATGATCCTTTTAAAACTTATTTGCTCACAACTTTACCGTGGTTCCCCATCTCACTTAGAGTAAAAACTTTTTATAGTCACCTATATAGAGAGTGACCATAAAATTTATGGTCCAAGTCAGGACACTTTTGAGCATGAAAGGTGGTGCTATTAATAGCAATGGCAGAACGACAGGCATAAACCGGGACTATCTTGAGCAAACCAAGACTGTGGTCTACCTTTAATATCCTACATGATGTGTCTTTTCTCCCTTACCTCTTTAACTTCATTTCTAATACTCTCCTTGCTTCTTCTGTTTCAGCCGCGCTATTCTTATTGATCTTTCTTGATAGGGTCAGGCACACTCCACCTGAGAGCCTTTGCTCTTCTCACAGAAATCTGTGTGGCTTGCTTTCGCATTTCCTTTAGGTCTTTGTTCAGATGTAACTCATCAGAAAGACGTTTTGGTGATCACCCATGAGCAGTACTCTGCCCCTTCAACCTGTCCTTCTTACTCACTGCTTTGTTTTTCTACAGCACTTACTGTTTGTTGTCTGTCTCCTCCTCACTGGAAGTTCTATGAGGACAGGGATTTTGAGTTGTTTGCTACCTTCCCCAGGGCTTAGAACAATAACTGTTCTAAGTCAGGGCACCTGTCATTGTAGACCTGGGGAATTTAAGGGGAAAATTCACTGTTGCTCTTGATACCTAGGTATATAAAATAACTTTTTTCTCTTTTGATTTGTGGTAACCAAAATTGGTTTAGGAATATACCTTGGAAGTTCCTAAATCATGTATTTTTCCTTGTTCCAGGTAAAAACTGCCAGGATTAATGTATTAATATAAAACCAGTGTTCAAGGTATACTTTGAGTCTTATTTCTGCCACATTTGATGCTTGTCTGTGGACTATTGAAAGTAAAAAAGGTGGTTTGTTTTTGGTCCCAGATTTCTATTTTTTTTCCTTTTGCTTGTTCATTTCCTCCCCCGACTCATGTAATACATGCTTTCATTTTAAAGTTTACATTCTGCTGTGATTTTTTAGAGACTTAGGTTCTTCCTTTTAAAAACCTCTTTTAATTAAAATCAGAAAATGCTAGGATCTCAGTCATGTAAACTTGTCTTAAAACGCTTTGGTGTAAACAAGGTTTCTGTGACTTCCTCCAAAGATTCGCCCTTTAGGGTTGGTTTTTGCCCCAAGTGGTGGATTTGTCATCCATAAAGGAATTTTAAATAGATTAGGAGGAATTGCGGGGTGGGGGGGGATGGGGGGTGGAGAGATGTAGGCAGCAAAGCCTGTCCTTTGTCCCTGAAATGACACCACCTCTGGCAAGAGATGATCCTTTTAGGGTCTCTGAGGGGGGCGGGGCGGCGGCTAGAACAATGATTCTTATTCTTTCTACCCCCAAAGGCTCTACTCTTCTGTTTTTCTCCCTCTCTCACATACAAGTATCCATGGTTCTCATTCTCTCCCTCTCTTGAGGACAGGGGAGTCTTCTCAAGGAGTGTTTTCTGGATCTTTCACAGGTATAGGAACTTCCCAGTAGCTGCTTTTACTTGCAGTCTTATAATAAGGCCTTAATTTTTGCTTCATCCTCTGATCTGCTGGCCCTTCTAGCTCCTATCTAGTTTCTTGTATCACTTGGATCATAACTTGAGCTTCCATCCCATTGTCTACCCGAAGAATTGTAGGTAACTCTAAGTCAGAGCTCATTTTAATAGTTTCCCTTCCTTGTACCTCGAATCTCTGGCGGTGGTTTTAGTTTTTCCGCACTTGTGGCATGTCGGGGGGAAGAGGGTCTAAGCGGTTCAGTGTGTATTCTTCGAGAGCCTATTAGATATAGGGGAGGCTTTAGATATAGGGGAGGCTGTTGAATCTTGGACCATAGGATAGAGGTTTACAGAATGTGGTGATTCAGGAAGCAAATCAGGATCTTTCTAAGCATCGGTGGATGTGAGAGCGTTAAATGGTATAATTTCAGGGAAAAGGGTGACATTGGTTGCTGGCTTTCGTACTGGAGAACTAGCAAAAAAGAGATCAAAATCTCACTGGAGCTGTTTAAAAGTAATCATTTGCATCTAACCAGGCAACATCATAATTCCTGTACATCCCTTGGCTGACGCTGGCCCTTTTGTGTGCCTAGCTTCTAGTTTTGCCCACCATAACAAAACATGGAGGGATTAGTGCTTGGAAGCAAGGTTCCATTGAATATGGGGAGGCTGGCAACTAAGTAGTACGTTGCATCCATGATCATTTTGGTCTTAAAAGAATATTTTCTCTGACTCTCTATGATGTAGTGTGCTAAGGTAAGACTTGGTCTTTTTAAATGTTTGAGGTTCATGCAGTATCTTTTGAAGCACTTTGAATGGAGAGAAATGTTCCTTTGTTAGTTTTTCCTTTGTAGCTGTATTGCCGGAAACTCATAAAATAAAAAAGCGTAGGGAGCCACGCAAGCCTGTAGTGTCTATTTATCCAGTTTTTCTGAAATACTAAGGTATTTAATAAGTCAAAGTAAAGACCATTATCATATTTTAATGAAGGTGTGCATGTATTTAGTCAGTTTCTTTTTTTTTTCTTCTTAGACTGCCAAGGAAATCTGATGTGGAAAGGTGAGTATGAAAAAAACCTTAAATCTGTGTCTGTGTTGATATATCTATGAGTATGTGTGTGTGTGAGTGAGAGAGAAAGTGGCGGGGTGGGGAGGTATGTGTAGGTATGGGTGGTAGAGTTGTGGACCAGGAACATAGGCGCAGAGAGCCTAGGGTGACTTCACACCATTTGTTTAAGGAGCCC